GGAAGGAGATGGTGAGTGTTCCCCGTGATGAGTATGAGAGGTTTGTCCAATCCACATCTCAGCAGAACACAGCTACTTTCGCACACTCAGGTATCGCTTGTTTGGCATCCACACCCAATCCCTGGATTATTGACTCTGGAGCCTCCAATCACATGACTGGAACTCAAGTGTGTTTTCTTCCCACTCTCATTGCTCAACATCACAATCCGTTACCCTTGTTAATGGTTCCACATCCTCGATTTGTGGTGCTGGCAATGTTAACTTGACCCCCTTATCTTTATCCTCAGTTTTGTATGTCCCTAAATTTCCGTTTAACCTTATGTTTGTTAGTAAGTTGACCAAGTCACTCAATTGCTCTATTACTTTTTACCCTTCTATGTGTGTTTTTCAAGATCTCAAGACAAGGATGAAGATTGGTAGAGGGCATGAAACCGATGGATTGTATTATCTTGACAGTGGTGGAAGAACATCAACAGCTCTCCAGTCATCTCTCTCTCCTCTCCAGTGGCACTGTCGATTTGGTCATCCTTCGCTAAAAGTTTTGAAATTTTTGGTTCCTTCGTTGAGTCAACTTTCTATTTTAGATTGTGAGTCATGTCAATTGGGGAAACATCATTGTGTTCCCTTTAATCCTGGGGTTGATAACAATGTGTCGAGTCCTTTTTCTTAGGTTCATTCAGATGTTTGGGATCCTTATAAAGTGATGTCATACAATGGATATAGATATTTTTGTTGATGATTTTTCAAAGATGATGTGGCTCTATTTAATGAAAGAAATGAGTGAACTGTTTACCATCTTCAAAAAATTTTATGCTGAGATTCACAACTAATTTGGTGTTCACATTAAAATTTTTCATTCTGATAATGGTCGTGAATATTTATCTTCATCATTTCAAGAATACATGGACCAACATGGCATTATACATCAGACCTCATGCACCTACACCCCACAACAAAATGGGGTGGCTGAGAGAAAGAATCGTCATCTTTTGGAAACAGCTCGATCCCTCATGCATCACATGAATGTTCACAAACCCTTTTGGAGTGATGTGGTGCTTACTTCTTGCTTCTTGATTAATCGAATGCCCACGTCTATCCTTGATGGTCATTGCCCATTCACTACCTTGTTTCCCACCTTGTCTCTGTTTCCTCTTTCTCCTCGGGTTTTTGGGTGTGTCTGCTTCGTCCATAATCTGGGCCTCGGGAAGGACAAGTTAGATGCACGATCCATTAAGTGCATCTTCCTTGGCTATTCCTAGACCCAGAAAGGGAATAAGTGTTATCATCCTAGTTCTCGACGTTCCATTGTGTGTGTTGATGTTACCTTCTTTGAGTCTACTCCGTTTTTCTTGGAGTCCGGTGATGCTTCTTCCTCTCATCACCTCCCCCTCTTCCACTTCCAGTTGTCGATTCTATTCCCCTTGTTCCAATCGTGACCAAGTCCTTGCCTCCAGTGCCACCACCTGTTGAACGGCCACATATCCATCAAGTGTATACACATCACCCACATGTACCGACTGCTACTCCTCCAGCTCCATCAACATCGACAGATTCAGCAGTTGTCTCCGCACCTGCCCCAAACCCAGTATCTGATCTTGATCTTCCCATTGCCTTGCGGAAAGGTAAACGCACTTGTACCCTTCATCCTATTTCTAATTATGTTTCACTCACTCACCTTTCCGCTTTCCATCACCAGTTTATCTCTTTGTTATCCTCAATTGTTGTCCCTAAGGATGTCTAGGAAGCCCTTGCCTCTCTAAGGTGGTGTCGTGCAATGGAAGAAGAACTCTCAGCTCTAATTCATAATCATACTTGGGACCTCACCACTCTTCCTCCTAGGAAGAAGGC